GCCGCGCGGGCCGGGGCAGCAGCAGGAGCCGGCGGCCGCTGCCGGCGGCGTCAAACACGCAGTCCTTCCGCGCCGCCTCGCCCGCCCGCTTCCTCTTGCATCTGTACGCGAAGGCCACGGGGCTGCCGGTGACCGCCAGCCGGGGCTGAGCAATGGCGGCCGCGGGCTGGTAGTAGGCGGCGGCTGGGTGCTTGCCGCACAGCGCGCTCCGAAAGCAGGGCGGCTCGGCGCGGAAGGGCCCGTAGCTGCCCCCGAGCGGCGCCGGCTCATAGTTCCGAGGGGCTTTGGCGGGCGCCGCCGCGTAGCCGCGGCCAGTGTATTTACTAAAAAGGTGAGGTAGATCGGAGGCCGGCGGCAAGCCCGGGTCCCCGGCCCGCAGCGCTCTCCTCCTGATTGGCAGCGGCCGAGCCGGGGCCTTCAAGCCCAGCCAAAGTTTGTTGTCCTCCCAGAGGCTGCAGTAGGAGCCGGCGGCCGGGCGCTCCGCGCGGAGCTCGCCGCCTGCCAGGGCCCGGCTGATTTTCCTCCGTTTTGTCTTGAGGACCCGCTCGGTCTTGCAGGAAGTGTACAGGGCTTCGACGTCCTCCCTGGAAATCAGCGTGCATTTGGCGGCGTGGAAAGCGATGGAGTTGATGGCTTTGAGTTTCCTCAACTCCTCCAGGTCGCAGTGATGCTTTTTGACTTTTAAATGATCCATTCGCTTGTGCACGGTGGTTCTCGGGATGTTTTTGAGCAGGTCTGTGAAGACCTGAGAGAGTGCAAACATTTGCTTTCCTTTAATGATGAGGTAGCCGAGCCTCACGCCATCCACCTCTTCAAAACCCGACTTCAAGTCTCCCATTTCGCGAATTAAATTATTCCCGGCATTTGCAGAGAGAGAGAGAGAGGGAGGGAGGAAAAAAAAAACCCACACACACACAATCCTCAGCCAGATGCTGTATTTGTCTCAAGGCATCCTGCTAATAAAATAACAAAGACTGTTATTCCTGGTCAATGGCGTACCAAACTTTAGACTAAATAAAAAAAAAATCAAAGCAAATCAAACAAAAAACCCATGTGAAACTACAATCGATAGTTCTGATTTTTTTAATCGGGTTTGCCAAAGTGTTTCTCTAAGTTGCTGCTGAAGATCAGTACCTGTTCCCTTTCATTCCCTGCTTTTCCATTGGAAACTATGATAATGGAATGTGAAGGGAGGAAGAGAAAAGAAATGCAGCTGCTATTCCCGCCGCTGCTTTAGCTACAAATAAAATGACAGAGTGAAGTGAGCTCGTCCGGAGACACCTTCATCAATTAATTCCCCTAAAGCCAACGCTGATTGGACACTCCTGACAGGTGATGCAATAAAAATTGATATTCCACCCCTTCCCCCAAAAAATCTCCCACTAATTAGCATACCCTTATACTGCCACCTCCCCTCCCAAAGTAAATAATACAGTTAGTATATAAATCTTTCTATTAAACAATCTGAGCTCAAATCCACTCAGACCTCTCAGGCTTCTTCATCGCTAGCTCCATGTGAAGGATTTGTATGCTTTTTGATATCATTTTGTCTATATTTAGAATATTTTGGACAAATGTGGCTCTTTGGTGCATGGCATGGATTTAAGAGACAGCAGCATGATCGTAGCGATGGAAAATTCTTTGGTAACGTGACCATTCGAAACTGGAATTTTATTCCGCATTACGTGGAAAATGAAGCTTAGCGAAAATGTGCAGAATAGCCTGGTATTTCCCTTTCCGAGGCTCCAAACTTAAAGGCTCGATTGTTAACAACCAGAGGGAATACTTACGTTTTTCGAGTTTCTCTTGATTTTCCTCTTCTGCTTAATTGTCTTTTTACAGCCAATGGCTAATTTTTTTTGTATTTATTTTGGTGCCGCCTGCATATGGAGGGTTCCAGCCCCGTCATACTGTAACACTTTTAACTGAAAATCTGCCTGTAATACTGGGGGAGGGGGAGGAGGACGTGGGCTCACGTCAGACCTATAACAAAGCATAGATAAGCCAGAAATGGATACACTTTTCACAATTAACCGTGCTGGAGCACAAACTGGAATGTCCTATGGTCCCGGAGTCCACGTCAGGATTCCTGTGTGCTGATTACTTCCAGCAGAGAAAGGAGAATGTAAAATGTCCAAGGTGCTTCCAGAGGCTTTACGTAATAACAAAAAAGTGCTGGCATACCACGCACAACGTGCAATGGGCTAGGATGCGCCTGCTTCGCAGTGTGCACGGTCGGTGTGGAGCAGCCCCTCTGCAGCCTTTTGATGTTCCATTTATACCAAGCCTTTTAAAAATCAATTTGAAGAAGCAGCATGAAGGTTTAACCTCTTCTTAGTGACGTTCAATTATTTTAGTGTCAGGAGCAATGATTTCGAAAATGTTGCAACAGCAGCAAACCTCTTCCTTGTTAAATTAAAATGATGTTTGCGGTTTGCATGTCAAACGCTGCAAATAGAACTAACTATCCGCCGTTAATCAGTTTTCAACTGAAAACTAGATATAGCACAAGCACTTTTGTGTCTAGCAGGAGTTCCTCGCTTGTCCAAAATTAGACACATCCGTGTGATTAAGAAAACAGCTCATATTTCTAGGTCTAAAAAAATATGTATTTTCTTCGAAGTCCAAAGTGCGATTTCCCACTCTCTCTACTGGCAACATGGTGAATGGAGTTCGTGTTACGCCATCAGGTAGAGCTCAAATAAATAAAAACAGCATCCCCCTTTTTTCAAATATTTTCAGCAGTTTGGCATGAGCAGGCGAGATGCCCCAGCGCCTAGGTCCGCAGGAATTCGGGAGAGAACCGGGAATTTCAAGAAGTGCAGCCGGAAATTAAGGAAGTCTATTTAGGAGAGCCTCTAACTCGGAAGGTTGAGATCTGAAAAGTCAGCCCTAGACTACTGTTGCTCTCAGCACAGATGTAATCGCCGCTCTTCAACTTAATCCATGTGTGTACAAACCACGATGTCTAGTTCTTCCCTTTGAAATCTAAGGATAGTATTCCCATCCAAGAAATCAGAGCTACAGCAAATTACATTTTGTCCCTTGAATTAGAAAAGGATCATTGAATGGATCTCGTGATATTTCAGCCTTTAAACGTAACCGAGAGGCAGCAGTGAACAATGCCTCGTCACAGCTAATACCATCCACAGAGTTAGCCTTCTTTTGCTCTGCATCTGGATCTATCAGCGTACATTTTTCTTTCTCGCTCGCACAAGAGACATCATGTTATATTCTATAGCTGAAAGCAAAGTTTCCAGGGAAAACAGCTGCTGGTGTTAAAAAGAAATCATCGTAGTCCTCCTAGAGCTAGAGACAATAAGGTCGTTTAAAAATTCCTCCTGATGCACTTATATGCTGCTGGCACCCCCACCCCCTCCCCGCGGCTCTCCTCCCCCTGCTTTAAGGGTAAGGCTATGGAGCCAAACAGTAAAGAAACCGTAAACTCCGAGAAAGCTTTTAAGAAGACATTACAGAAAAAAAGGTGGGCTGACAAGTCATTGCTTTGCCAGGTAGTTTGGTTGTCCTCGACTCCTGTTCAAATCCAAACACCCTCTCTTTTACTCCAGATGACAGCCTGGCAATGGGATCCAGGAACTATTTAAAAAATGCATGCTTTTTGTTTGTTTAATACAGGCGCTATCAAATGCTTTAAACTTAGTAGCGGCTTTTTGCCAAGCCTATCTTTTCAGAAAGGTACAGCCATGAGCTTCTGGGGTCAGCCAGAGCCAAATGTTGATAGAGGAAAAAAAGCTAGAAGTCTTTAGGAAATGTTATACATATATACACACATGTACACAATATCGTTACACACACACACAAAATGTACACAGTATACTCACACACACACACACACACACACACACACACGCACAGAGTTTCAGTTGCAGGGCTTTCTCCACATCACACACAGAGGCTTTTGTTTCTTTAACTTCTCCATCATTTTGTTGTGCAAAATGAACCAGGCAGCTTTCATGGGGCCATCAGCACACGTTGTATATCCGGGGTCTTCTTCAGGCACATTGGGGGTAGATCCTGCTAGCGAGATGTGACGGAGGCCCCTGGCACACGCACGCACGCACACACCCATTAAAGGCAGGGGACTCTAAAATGGATTTCCACGCACACAGGGGATTGCGATCAATAGCTACCAACATTTATGGCTTAGATTATTAATGTGAAAGCTGGGTAAAAGAATGAAAATGAAAAATTAAAGGTGTCTGTTATCAATTACAGTAAAAGTTATGCAATAATTTACTTACTTGGTGTGTGTGTGTGCGCGCGCGCGTGTGTGTGTGTGTAGATCCAGCTGTATATATTGCTATCTCTCAAAAGCAAGGTAGTGTCTGGCAATTTTGTTGACCGTGTCAGCCTCCCTTAAAATCAACGATGAACACGATTAAAAAGATGGATGTTTGTCTCACATTTCTTTAGTACAGAACGTCTGTAGTGCCCGTTTTGCCAAACGCATATACACACGCAACTATATATAGTTGCGTGTGTATACACACGCACACACACGGAGGCTATCAATCAAATGTGCTCCTTTTCACGATGAGTAGCGTGCAATCTGCAATCTACACCCTCTCGTAGGTAGTATTTCAGTTTGCTAGCTGGCTGGCCGAAGAGTAAACCTCTGTAGAAAATAAGTTGAATAATATGCTGCTGTGGACCTATTCCTGCTTACAACAGATTCCATACTTTGATGTTTGTAAACTCGTGTTAAAAGATCCAGGTTTGCAGTAAATGTGTAACTATATCGCTTCAGGAAAAGACGACGTGTATAACGTTTAAAATCCTTTTTGATGTGTTCTGATTTATTTTCTTTTTTGGTGATGTTTAAATACCACTGCGATTCAGTCTGACCTCTTCCTTCTGGAGCTAAGTAATGCACACACCATTTACAGTCTTTTAAACGTTTAGTTGGGAAATGCAACAGCAATATCCAGCAGCAGTTGGACTAATGGAAAGACTTCTTTTGAAAACCTTCAGGAAAACCTACGGGGTCATGTGCATTTTCACACTAGGATTGCCACATTATTAGAGTATTATTATTTATTATTATTTGTTAAGTGCCAGACTGTATCTTCAGGTATTGACAAGCATTAAATAAACCTTTTCCTTTCATGAGCCCTGATGTAGAAATATATAATTTAAATGAGAAGTATATTTTCTAACCTTAGCACTGTTTTAGATATCACTATGCATATTTTCTTCAAAGAGGCTACAGACAGAAAACAGTGCGAGGCTATCACAAAGAGTCCAGTAACGTAAATATAATAGGGTCAAAGAACACTATAATAGGGTCCTTCTGCTATTTTAAAGTCGGCCCAGTGTGACTGTAGTGCTTAAAACTTGTTGTAAATTCTAAGCTGGCAAAAATAAGAAGGCATAACTAAATTAGTCAAATATGTGGAAGATAAATCCCAGCTGACAGTAAAAAAATCATAGCATAATTTATCTAGCATCATCACGCCCGTGAGTTATTTCTTTGTAAACAAAGCAAGGAGGTATTGTTGCACGTTTTTAAGTTTATTTCTACATGGCTGTACTACTTACGCACCAGAATGTTGTACGGTGCATAAAAAGCACAGAAGAGCAGCCTTACTTGGTGTTGATAGTCTTGGTTGTTTTAAAATACAGGTTTTTTAACAGGAGTTTTTGGACACATACTGCATGCCATGTTGTCTACTGACCCATAATCAAAATGCAGTGACCTTCTACCCTTTTTTTGCCCCTTGACCCATCCTGAATTCAATGCAGCCTTTATAAATTTGCAAATCCTTGGACGTAAAGGGGATTTGGTGAGGCTTTGTTCTGGAAGGATCCTAAAAGTTTGCATTTTTTAATTAGACAAAGGTAAGGCAACAAATAGTGGGGAATAAGATTATTTCTTACACGCAGGTGCTCCGTATTCATTTTTACATTCAAGGACTGTATCCTGGAAAAACAGATTCTGCAAGCTGAAAAGCAATTGCAAACATAGGAGATCAGAAGGTTATGGATCGCACCAAATTAGCAATGTGGTACAAATCACTTTCATGACGTAAGGGATGGCCAGGCCACAATCTTCCGGCGTTCCTCATCTCCAAGGATTGTGTGGATCCTGGTGACCCGGGGAGAGGAGAGAGCGAGCGAGCGATTTGATCTGAAGCCACAGGCACATTCCCTTATCTCTTCTGCTATCAGTCAGTCTAAAGGACACCATAATTATGATGGTTATAAAACAATGCCCGCTTATGTGTGCTGAATAAATAAAGAATGTTTACAGCTCCAGAATGTTTCAATTCCAATTAAACGCTATCAAAGAAAAGGCACTCCCCCGTCCCTATTTACCTTGTTTATTGTCATATTTTCTTATGAAATAGAAGAGCCTTCCGGAATGCTTTTTAGGTTAAGTTGTGGGGAAGGGGGGGAGGCGATTAGATAACACATACTCCCAGTTCCCCAATTACTTGGATCACCTACATGTTGTATTTGTTTATTTTTTAATGGCTACATGCCTAGAGATGCAATGGTAAAAGGCGCGAAAATACCCAACTCCAACCACAGCCCGGAGGAGTTGGGCTGAATTAATGCAGCGCCCTTGGGCGTTAGAGGAAGGGGGCGAGAAGGGGGCTGTGATCCTATGGTTCCGACTTCCTGACCAGAACCCAGCCAAGCCTCTGAAAGGGCCCAGAGGAACTTCGTCTCCAATTAGCTCCTGTTTCCTTTGCATCTTGGGTCCTTGGAAACAGGAGGCTGAAAATTCATCCCAGTTACTAAGACACAAGGATCATTTCAAATATTCATCGTATCAGCAAATCTGGTCATAATCAAATTAAAGCAAGGTTTGGGGGAGTACTGCCTGTATGGCTGGGTACTAAACCCAGAGAGGATTACAAAGAAATCAGAAAAAGGGGCCCTTTTGAGTGGCTTAGAAGCACATTGCAAAATGCAAAACAATATTTCTGCCATGAAAGAGACACTTTGTAAACCCACCATTCTGTGTGATACTGCAGAGACCCCCCCCCCCA